GACAACAGTTGGTGCAATCATTCGCAAATGGAAGAAATACAAAACTGTATACTGGAATTTATGCAGCTATAGATGCTATACTGTAATGGCAGTGATCAGCGACTTATAGTGTGACTGCGATAGGGTGGTGGGCAATCTGGCACTAAGAGACACTGTCTCACTAGTGACACTAATCCAGTGGCCAGTGATAATACTGTACACTGACACTGTACTAATGACACTGGCTGGGAAAGGGTTAATATCAAGGAGCAATCAAGGGGTTAAATGTGTGCTTAACAATATGTAATGTGTGTAATATGTGCTGCTTTTACTTTCTGATCTGGCTGTTTTTTTGTCCTGCTTTTCAGGGAGAAGAAACAGCCAGATCTCTATTCTTATGCGCACTAAGTCTGTAAATGCAAAACTCTTGTGTGTGATTGAACACAGCCAATCATTGGCTAAAACATGCTGCCAAACCCGTGTCCAATCAAAACACAAGTCGTCAGGGGGTGCAGACATATACGTCTCAAACTTGGAAGACAGGCGGTGATGTACAGGTACGTTGTACGGTCTGCTTGTGCCACTGACCACAGTAAATGTACTGTGGGTGGTGGCAAGTAGTTAAGGAATAGTTAAAAATATATAATACATCATTAAAAAAATGTTTACAACTAAAGAAAATAAAATAAAATTGACCTAAAACCAACGAGGTTCCCCTTTTGAGATCTGGACATACCTTGTACCACATGATGTCTGGTACTGGTTTGCCTTCCACCACCACAACAAAGCGGGCTGTCTCCCCCGTTCCTATCTCTATGTCTTCCATGATGGAGTCAAAACGGGGAGTCTCTGTAAAAAAAGAGATTTAATATAATAAAATATACAGTATATCTAAAAACACTGACACAAAACATAATGACCTCATTCTAATAGCCAGAATACAGTATTTCCCAAACCACTCTATTTTTTTATCAATGAATAACATTCGACCTGGGGAGCAAACTGTTCCATTTTGCCCTCATTCACAGAGAAAGAATGTGCATGTAATTTCGGGGGGCAAATGGCTCTTTTTTTGTTATAAATACACATCTAAATGAATCATGTCATCAGTTTCCTACAGAGCTTTCCCATGAGTGTACAGCATTTAGCGGGAAGCAAAGCATTGTGACCACGGCATGTAAACATCCCCGTCTGCTGCAATTTGTAGCTTAGAGGGGGGGGGGGGGGCAGGTGGCAAAAATGCAGCTCAACCCCACATTTTTTGCCACCCCCCATCCCCACATTTAAATGAAGCCTTATGTAGCTCCTAACAGTTCACATATCCTCTCTCTGCAATTGGTACCTGCCATCTCTATGTTGACGGTGCACCTGACGGGTCCATACCGATTCCTGGCTTCGAATGTCAGCGGGCCGAGGTCAGACTTCTTGGGACTGAAGATTGTGAGCGAGTGCTGCCCATCATCCGGCATACTCATCTCACACACGCCATCCACGCTGCGCAGAATCGTGCCTGCTCTAGGGAGAAGGACTTGTGTTTATAATAAGACACAAATCTGGTTTAGAGCACAAAATAAAACAGGACAGTGGTAATACTTTTGTTTATATTTAGTGAGCCTGTCCTGAAACACAGTGTATAGCACCGCAGGATACAAAAGAGCTTCATAGAAACATAAAAAATGACGGCAAAAGATCAAGTGGTCCATTGAGTCTTACCCCATCCCGCCCCCCCCCCCCCCCTTTTACTTTTTGGTCTTTGTAACCTTTAGGTCTGAGGATTGGTCTTTGTTTGTCCCAAGCATGTTTGAAGTGGTTGTAAACCTGAATGAACAAAGCATATCCTTTTATAGTGTATGCTTGCCTAGTGCCTAGTGTGATTTCAGTCTGTTCTCTTATTCCTTTGCTTTCTGTATGACTCACTTTGACAGTCTATAGCAGGGGTGGGCAAACTTTTTGACTTGAGGGCCGCAATGGGTTCATATATTGGACCCGGGGGCCGGACCAAGAGTAGATAGTAATTCATCCCCCATAGTAATTCATCCCCCATATAGTAATTCATCCCCCATATAGTAATTCATCCCCCATAGTAATTCATCCCCCATATAGCAATTCATCCCCCATAGTAATTCATCCCCCATATAGTAATTCATCCCCCATAGTAATTCATCCCCCATATAGTAATTCATCCCCCATATAGTAATTCATCCCCCATATAGTAATTCATCCCCCATAGTAATTCATCCCCCATAGTAATTCATCCCCCATAGTAATTCATCCCCCATATAGTAATTCATCCCCCATAGTAATTCATCCCCCATAGTAATTCATCCCCCATAGTAATTCATCCCCCATATAGTAATTCATCCCCCATAGTAATTAATCCCCCATATAGTAATTCATCCCCCTATAGTAATTCATCCCCCATAGTAATTAATCCCCCATATAGTAATTCATCCCCCATAGTAATTCATCCCCCATAGTAATTCATCCCCCCTATAGAAATTCATTCCCCATATTAATTCATCCCTCATATAGTATTTCATCCCCCACAGTACTATTCCCCCCCAAGTAGTAAGCCAAGTCCCCCCCCCTGTGTCAATTCACTTACCTTTGCTCCGCGCGTTCCTCTCGCCGTGTTCCCGCGCCGTTCCGGTCTTCAGGGCGGACTGTGAGAGGAGCCTAGCTCCCTTCACGTTCGTCACGCTGCCCCGCCTACACACATCCTGACAGCCAATGTTTGCCTGCCCTGGCTGTGTTTTTTTTTTTCACGCTCCGCGGGCCAGATTAAAAGGTCCGCCGGGCCGTATACGGCCCGCGGGCCGTAGTTTGCCCATTGCTGGTCTATAGGCACAAAGCAAATAGAGGATTACCTACACAGTTTGACAGCCTCAGATGAGTTTAAAGGTGAAGCAGTCATGCACCAGGCCTGGCTTAGAGCCACTTGGCTCTAAGGAAGAGGCAAGTCCTCGAAATGCGTCAGCCTTTTGGATGTCTATACTCCCTATTGCGGACTGTTACTCAGCGCGGTGTTGATCCAGCTGTTCTTTTATGATGTGCCTTGACTATATTGTCGTTTGTGAGTACAACACCTACTTTAATTTTTATTAAACATTTTTTATGGTAATGCACTAGGCCTGTGCGCCCTCTGTTTTTTCTTTCCTCATTCAGTACATTTGGATTTCCCCGGTCCATTTGAGGGCAGCAAGGTGTGCATGTTCCAGGACATTCCTTATGTGGTTGTAGCCTGCATCAAGTCCATCCCCAAGCGCAGGAGCATTTGTGTTTGCTGGCTCCTAGAACCTCTCCCTCCCACTAATCACTGTCCCTGTCAAGGGTGACCTGTCAACGGGTGACCTGTTCCCACATGAAAAGCCAAGCCAAGCCTGGGAGCCAGGGCCTTAAATAGGCTCTGCCTGGCCCAAGATGGCTGCTAGAGTCCTCTGGGGCTTGACCTCCTCGCCCTTTGCAATGTCACTGCGGTTGACTGCCACCTGCAGTGGAGAAAGTAGACTGCACCTGCCTACACATATCGGTGTGTCCCAGAGCATGGGGTGCAAGCTTGTCCTGATACCAATCTTAGAGGGCTAATAAATGTAAAGAGGAAAGAAAAGCCACTACTCCTAACCAGCCCAGGTGAATAAACGATAAGAAGCGGCCTCAACCTACATGTCTCCATCAAATCACACACATCAGATGCATTTCGCCAGTCCCAACGGGGCTTAGTCATAGGGTCATCACACTTCCAAAAATCTGTATATTTACTACACTATAACAGCTCTTCCAACTATCTTCGTTTTATTTTTTTTTTCATCTGGTGAACATTGCAGAGTTTTTCCTCCCGCCCTGAATCCTAAAGAGGATTACGATGCTACAAATATCAAGTGTTTACACTGGTTAATACCTCTTCCAGGTGACATCAGCCTCCACATGGTTCAGGGTCACTGTCACACACAAGAGCTGATTTTCTACCATGTACAGGAGCTCAGGGCGGTCTATGATCGAAGGTGCCTCCTCTAGATAGGGGCCTGTAAAACAAATCACACAGTTCAGTTTTAGATGGTGTCCTCTTCAGTGGTGTTTAGAGTTATGTTTTTTTTTTTTATTATATTTGAAGGGATATTTTGTAACCACGGTAAAATTGTTTTCTTATTGAGTTTATTAGGTAACAACACACCAACATGGAGTAAGTGTTCCACCTACGGGGGACTGCCACTGAGACAGATGATGCCTCCCCCAAGGAGTTCTACTCAACAAGAAGAAGATAATGTTAGGTTACCCCAGTGTTTCTCAACTCCAGTCCTCATGGACCCCCAACAGGTCATGTTTTCAGGATTTCCCTCAGATGAAACAGCTGTGGTAATTACTAAGGCAGTGAAACTGATCAAATCACCTGTGCAAAATAATGGAAATCCTGAAAACATGACCTGTTGGGGGTCCATGAGGACTGGAGTTGAGAAACACTGGGTTACCCACAGATATGAGCTTTCCAACACCCCATCTAACTGAAAGCAATCTAATTGGGAAAATATTAGGAAATGTTCTTGGACTGACTGCAAAATCTACAGACATCTTCCAGTCAACAGATTTTAGGTGGAAAGGCAATCATTGCTATTGTTACATGAGATGTGGCTAGCACCAAGGGGGCTGCTCACTGTACATATTTAGCCATAATGGTTGTGTATGCTCACTGTATGCAAAGTTGGGAGAGACATTCAGAATAGATTCCCTATGGTACAAAGGCTTGTGAGGAGCACAAACATTTTTGTTGATTTCAATAGCCCTGCTGAAGACATGTAAATGCAAAAAAAAAAAATACTACATGCCCTAACTGTTAAAGTGAACCTGTCACCTCTGTAAAACATAAAACAGCATCACTCTGTAAAAGAATAAGTTCATGGTTGTTCAAACCCTAGAATGAAAAAAGTAATATATTGCAGAATACCAGCAATGTATTGTGAGTGAGAGAAAGAAGGCAGGGAGGCATCAGTGCTGAGAACACAGACATCTCCTTCTCAGCTGGGGTACCTACCAGGGGCGGACTGACCATTTGGAAACTCGGGCACTGCCCGAGGGCCTGGGGTCAGTAGGGGGCCCCATGAGATGCCCCTGGTACCTTTTTCATAGGCTTTTTTGAGTGTGGGCAAGGACACAGGGGCCCCATGATCCCCTATTGCCCGGGGGGGCCCCATGAGTTGTCAGTCCGCCCCTGGTACCTACTGAAGAGTGAGGCGAGACTGCAATGACAGGAGTGGCAGCAGCGTCACTCCTGTTGTTCAGGGAGTTGAAGAATGGGGTATTGATTCTCAGAGCCGCACCATAGGAACACTGCGCCCAGGGCAGGTGCCCCTTCTGCTACCCCTCTTGTCCAGCCCTGTGGGTGGCTATTAGGGTTGCACTGATACCATTTTTTGTATCGGTGAGCACGAGCATACTATTGGTCAAAAACTCAACAATACAGAGTATTGATACCAGTGCGATTTGAGCCCATACAAAATTAATAGGCTCAGATTGCACTGCAAATCATGTGCGATCTCCCAGCATCGCTCCTGTGTGATCCCACTATAGAAAGACAGGGAAGCAACATGAACATGAAATACAGCAATGTGCAAACAAACAGGTTAAAATGTTATCACGACTCACATGCTAAAAGTGCCAAATATTTTCCATGTCAAATTCAAACCCGGCTGCTTGCAGTGCTCACAGAGCTGGAGGAGAGGTAGGGAGTTTTGGGACCAGGGGCGAACTGGCCATTCGAGCACTCGGGTCAGTAGGGGGCTCCAAGAAATGCTCCTGGTACCTTTTATAGGCTTTTTTGGGTGTGCTTTGAGTGTGGGCAAGGACACAGGGGCCCCATGATCCCATATTGCCCGGGGGCCCCATGAGTTGTCAGTCCGCCACTGTCTGGGACCCCTGTGGTTGTTGTAGGGCGGACATGATGTCAGCTTGGGGATGGACTGCCTATACCTCTCTTACAGCCCTGTGAGCACCGCAAGCGGCCAGTCTTGGATATGACATGCAGAATATTAAGCACTTTGACCATGTGAGTTGTGATAACTTTTTTACCTTTTTGTTTGCCCATTGCTGCACTTCATGTCGCTTCCTTGTCTTATTGTAGTGGGATGGATCACACAAGAGAAGTGAGGGGAAAATCACCTGCGATTCTTTGCTGTGCAATTTGAGCCTATTCCTTTTGTATGGGCTAAAATTGCACCGCAAAGGTATCAGTTTTGGGTATCAGGAGCCATTGCACGAGTATGAGTACTTCTGCAAGTACTCGGTATCAGCGCAACCCTAGCGGCTATGCTTGCTTTCCAGTGAGTCCATGCAATGTAGTGTCGCCACCCCATAGGAGGAAGTTTAGTGAGCTAGATCCAGGGGCGGACTGACAACTCATGGGGCCCCTGGGCAATAGGTGATCATGGGGCCCCTGTTTCCTTGCCCAAACTCAAAAAAAGCCTATAAAAAGGTACCAGGGACATCTCATGGGGCCCCCTACTGACCCCGGGCCCTCGGGCAGTGCCCGAGTTTCCAAATGGTCAGTCCGCCCCTGGCTAGATCTGCTACAGCATGGAGTGGTCTGGGAACAAAAGGGCTAGCCTATGTTTAAGCAAGTAGGTGAAGCCAACAAATAATAACATTTTTTTTAAGGGATTAATAACACTTTAACCTATTATTTTACATACAGTTCCAAGTTTTTTTTTTTTTTACAAAGACATCATGTTTGCTTTCCAGTGAGTCCATGCAATGTAGTGTCGCCACCCCATAGGAGGAAGTTTAGTGAGCTAGATCCAGGGGCGGACTGACAACTCATGGGGACCCCGGGCAATAGGTGATCATGGGGCCCCTGTTTCCTTGCCCAAACTCAAAAAAGCCCAAGTTGTAGCACGTAGAGATGAACGAGCCACAAAGAGGATTTCTGATGTATGCCTGAATGAATTATGATTTCATGAAACTCAAAACACTAATCACTATACAGGCATACCTCGGTTTACGGACGCCTCGGTTAAAGTAATTTTCATTTTATGAATGAAAATCCATTGAAAATAATGCCTCAGTTTACGAATTTTTTATGATTTTTTTCAAAATATGAATCAAGTTTCCCCAGAATGAATGCAAGGTAGGGAAGCTGAGCTTTGTGTGATTTATGTAGAGTTGAAGTGTACTGTACCATGTTTGAAAAGTTTGCCATATTTTAAAAGTTGATGTGTGATGTTTTAAAAGTTGAAGTTGGATGTTTGAAATGTTATTGCTTCATTAATCATGTCCTTGTACAGTATTTATGCCTTTAAAGTGTACTTTATAAAGAGTTTTGAACGGATAAAATACTTTTTTATTACTTTTTTCTGATCTCTGGAATGGATTAATTGATTTTCAATGCATTCCTATGGGAAACCGCGTTTCGGTTTACGAATTTTCCGCAATACGAAAAGTCCCGCAGAACGCATTAAATTTTTAAAAATCGAGGTACGCCTGTATTTAGTGTACAACTAACTATAAAGTATCCATTTAAGTTTCAACTCTTTTTGTGGTTTAAATTGAACCCCTCCCGCCTTCATCACTACGAAGCCTCACCCCGGTCCAGAAGCTTAACACTCTCGCTGGGAGGAGATGGTTTGCTGTGTGCCGTAGCAGTGTACGTCACCACACGGAACAGATACTGGTGCCCTTTGGTCAATGCTTTGACAGAGTAGCTGGTCTCTTTCACATTATTAGCAATGACTGTCCATTGTGGAGAGCCCACTACTTGCTGCTGGATGGAATAAGTGAGCTGATCCAGGTCTGCAAGCAAGAAAGAAAACAGAGATGTACCAGAATGTACTTGATATGTCCATGGCTGGTGAGGATCAGTATGGGGTGACAGCCAGTAGTATAAACATGTTTTGTTTTTAGAAGCATGCAATTATGGGATACACTTGAGATTCAAACCTATAGCAGGATCCAGCCTTTTGGGGGGATTCCATCGCAGTTTGACTGTTTTTCCTGTCACAGATGCGATAATGGGGGGACCATCTGGAGGAGTTGGGACCACATCTGGAAAAAGAGAAGAAATAAATAGTAGGAAGTTCACTAAAGTTGTGCAGACTTGTTCCAAGGAGCATTGAAGCCATTGGATCAGGATGACAGACAAGAAAATAGCATTTCCATATTTGGCAGGTTTCTTGTAATAATATCTCAAGCATTATTTTTTTCTTACCTGTTACGTATAAGTGGGCATAACACGCAGCCTTGCCAACCTTGTTTGAGATGACACTCTTGTAGACACCAGCATGTGTGTGGCTAACAGATAGGAATACAAGACGATGGATGTCCTTATCTGAAGAGAAATAAAATGGTTTATCAAAATATAGGTAAAAGTAACGAGAAAATGGGGGGTGATCACGAAGTGTACAGGTTTTATGTTCGAATGTTCGAAAAGATCCACCAAACAATCTTTTATTTATCAGGAAACACATAGATATCTAAAACAAAGAGGAGAGGTTTGGTTCCACTCTAAAACTGGCAACTGTAGAGCCCAAACCTTACAGTACAATAACAGTTAACACCTTTCTTCCCTCTTCAAACTGAGATTGGCCAGGTCACAAAAAGATTCTCCAAGCTCCACTTGTTTGCACCCTCCACTTTCACATTTGGCACTTTTTGGGTGGGAGGGGGGAGCGGGTACCTGGTTCAGTTTGCTGCCCCCGCCTCCTTCGTTTGGAACACTTCAAAAGGCCCAGAAGACTACAGGAGCAATCATAAGACGCAGCACGACTCGCATATGCACAGTAGGAAACCAGCTGTGAAGCCACAAGGCTTCACTTCCGGTTTCCCCTACTGGCTATGCTGCCACCCAGATGCTAGTGAAGAACTAACCCGGGTGAGGATGGCATTGGTCCCCTGGACAGGTAATGTGTTCATTTTTTGAGGGGAGTCTGGAGCTCCGCTTTAAGGTGCAACTAAAGGCAAAACTTTTTTTTTTAGTTTTGGTTAGAGTGGAGAGGGATTAAAACAACTGTCAGTTTTATTGCTGTCTATGCCTCCGTTAGGAAGATTCACCCTCTTTATTTGCACACCAAGCTACTCATTCACTCCCTTGTTATTATTGACTATTGCAACTCCCTTCTCATAGGCCTACCTCTCCGTTGGCTATCCCCTCTTCAGTCTATCATGTATGCTGCTGCCAGAATCACCTACTCTTCTAACCGCTCAATGTCTGCCACCCCTCTCTGCCAATCCCTCCACTGGCTTCCCATTGCCCAGAGAATTAAATGCAAAATACTAACAACAACATTCAAAGCTATTCACAACTCTGGCCTGAGCTACACCACCAATCTTGTCTCCAAACATCACTCAAACCATCCTCTCCACTCCTCTCATGATCTCCTGCTCTCAAGCTCTCTTGTCTCCTCCTCCTATGCTCATCTCCAGGACTTTGTCAGTACGTCTCCCATCCTCTGGAACTCTCTATCTCAATCTGCCCGGCTATCCCCTACTCTGGCTGCCATTAGGCGATCCCTGAAAACTCATCTCTTCAGGGAAGCCTATTGAGCCTCCAATTAAACATGTGTCGCTTCCATTAGCTCACCCCCCACAGTTATAACCTTTCGTACCACTTGCCCCACCCTATTAGATTGTAAGCTCTAATGAGCAGTGCCCTCTTAACCTCCTCGGCGGTCTGATTCTTTCCGATTTTTTGTGCTGAAAGCGGTACCATTATTTGCATGGAAATATGTCGTTTTTTATTGTAGGCTGTAATTTTTAGGAATAACTCACTGAAATCTGTCCGAACAAGAGTCTAGTAAACATTCCCGGGTATGATAAAACTTGAAACACGAAATCATAAATTATAATTTAATAAATAATCATAAAAAATAATAATAATATAATAATAATAAATTTAATTCAATAATATAATCAAACCAAAAAACACTGAAATGTGAAATAGAGCGCCAAGTTCGCACATCGCTGAGCAAAGTCGCAAAATTGTTTTCAGTGTCTGATGACGAATTTCCCCCACCAATCATTATCACTCAATTCTGCAAGCGGTTCTGATTTACTATTGCTGTTCTAAAACCGCTTTTGACGTAAAGGGACGCTTTTTGGACGCCATGGACTTTTCTAAGTTTCCAGGCAGAAAGAACAGTCAAAATGCAGGCAGGGCGCAGGACAAAGCAGTAGGGACAATATGTATGTGAAATGTATTGTCGCAGCAATGACAGCAAAAATGACATTTTTTAAAAAATTTCAAATTTCTCCCGCCGGTTCCAGCGCCCGTACGTCCTGACGTCACAGGGACCGGAACACGGAAAGCCGGATGCCGGCATCGGCCAGAGGAGATGGCCGGGGACGCTGCAGGGGACACATCGCGGGAGCGAAGGACAAGGTAAGTGCTGCAGGGACCCCCTGAGCAACGCCGCATGGTAAGCCCGAGTGTAGCTCGGGGTTACCACTCTTGGTATTGAAATTTTACCCCGAGCTACACTCGGGAATACCGCTTAGGAGGTTAATCCTCGGTTTTTATTGTATTGTAACTGTACTGTCTCCCTTTATATTGTAATGCACTGAGCAAACTCTTGGCGCTAAAAAATCCTGTATAATAAATAATAACAACATCTATTATCAGCTTCAGACTGCATATCAGAGTTCTGCACAATTTTATAACATTTCAACAGGAGAAATTCTCACATTGGGTCATTCTGCGGTCATCTGTGCTCTGGATCTTCTTTCCATTGTGGTACCAGGTGATGGTTGGATAGGGTAAGCCAGTTACTTGACATTCCAACTGAACCTCACGAGACTCCACCACATCGAGGTCCTGCAGTGGCCGCAGGAAATCTGGCATAAGCACTCCCTCCACCTCACTGTCCTGCACTTCGGGCTCTTCTGGGATGGAAGGCATCTTTTCAAGCTTGGATCTGAAGGGAGTTATGAAATTGTTATGAGAAAATATAAAGTACTGAGATGCACAAACTAAAATTGTCGTATCATACTATTTACTCTCACATTTCATAAATGGTTCATCTTATGTTTCCTCTAAGTGCCTGAATCCATTTTTTGCAAAGTGCTAAATAAACTTTACCTTCAGAGTTTATTCGGCTCAAGTCAACTTGATGTGAATGAAACAAAGCTTAACAAAACGGTGGCCAGGCTATAGAAACTGAAATATTTACATATTCTAAATAAGCAGCAAAGAAGTTCTCATTGAACTCTGTATCTGCAGGCACTATGGGAAAAAAATTTATCCTCAACGTCTTCAGCAGAAAGCACTTTAACTTTTATCTCAGGAGCTCAGCTCACTGTACTCCTCTCTGCCGGTAAGTGGCTTGCAAACCTGCCAGCCTTCTAATCTCTATTGTAAGCACAAAGCAGGTGAACAGGAAGAGGGGACAGCAGAGTGCTGAGACCTGGCTTGAATGACTACACTTGAATTGCAAGGATGAAATATTCCACAGCATCTCAAGCTACAGAGGTCATTGAGGGCCTATTTAAGGGCTAAATTCACCTTTAGGAACATATTACACCCACATGTAAGCAGATTACTATTAGCTAGTGAGGTACTGCCCTGTACATGAGGGCTGGGGTTAACTTAGTTCCTGAGTTTTTCATTTGGTGGGATCTTTGGGTCTGATCCACTGCTCCTATGGCTATAAAAAGGGA